ACCCACTCCTTTATTTTTCAGGTGTTCGTCAGTTCCAGGGTTAGAGCTTGGACATGCAGAGCAGATATAGATATTCATTCCTCCGACTACGTAGGAATCTTCTCTATATTAGCTTTAGTTTTTATTTCAGTTTTCCAGTTTCAGTTTGAGAACTTTTCATAAGGGGTCTACTGGATGGATTCCCGAGTTGTAACCATGGAGGTTTTGGCAGTTGGATTATTTAATCTTTATTATTTAAAGGATTTATATTTAGTTTCTTTCAGCTTTTAATATTTAATCTTATTTCATTTTGTATTCCGTGTTCGATTTAAATATTAATTGTTTGATATCCCTCAGGTTTGGGCCTGGGTTTGATCAACCCGTGTCTCGGATCCGAGGGGTATCACAAGAATCACCTGATTCGGAGTCCGGATGGAAAAGATATGAAAATAAGAACAAAACGGCATTCTCCGATTTAGAGATACCGCAACCCTATCTCACTAAAACTGGTATAACTCTCACTACGGTTGGATTTTTTGAGAGTGGTTGGTATCATTGGAAAGCTATCTATAAGCTCTTATATTTAGGCTTAAGAATGACCTGATTTGGATTAGAAATGAAGGAGTTATAACTCTCTGAAGTTCATGCAACAAAGTTGCCTAAGAAAAATCAAAAGGGGAAGGTTCTAGGGCAGATCAGCCAGCTGATATGTGACGGCCCAAGTTTTTCAACCCGGTACGTTAGTGATGAACCGAAAGATGACCCGATAACGGATCCGAAATCCAAAAGCAAAAGACAACCAACGGTCTCTAGAGATACAACATGACTCTAAGACGCCAATGTGACCCTCAACGAGGTCACAAAACCCAAAGGAAACAAATGCGGAAGTAACGTTTCAAAAATGAACAAGAATGAACCTAGGGAAAAAAAACATCATTTCTAGCCTAAAAGTTGGTGCCACCGAGCACACCATTGGAAAGACAACAAAAAATTAATGAACTTAGACTCAAAAATCACTTGATTTGGAGTTTGGATGAAGAAGATATGGCTAACGGAAGAAGAAGGGGCAAAACGGTCAAAAAATGCAAACCCTAGATCATCTAACCGGTTACCAAGCCTTCCTAACCGGTTAGGAGACCAAAAAAATCGACCAAAACATTGCCCAAGCACATGTAACCGGTTACCAAACTTCTCGTAACCGTTTACATGTGAAGGAGGCAGAATGGGTAGCAAAAAGTCTTGGCAGCAGGGGTTTTTTTGGAAAAAAATAGAAATTTGAGGGCCAAAATGGCATTTTCTGGAAAAAAAATACGAAGAAGAAATCCCCTCAAAATCTAGTTTTCTACGTGACTTGGAAGGAAAATCAAAAAATACACACTATGAAAAGCCCAAAATGCCCTCCCAAGAAAAGTGTTCCAGAGGGTCCAAAAAGCTGCTAAATATAAAAACTGAGAGCTGAACTTCGGAAGCGATTTCCGATGTCAAGACGACATTTTCTGGAAAATCATAAAAAAGAAACCCCCCCTAAAATCATGTTTTCTATTTAAACTTATAAAGAACGGAATTTATTTTGAAAATAAAATTCCCAAAATACCCTTAGGTCAAAATATGCAACAAAAGTGTAAAATGAGTCCGTATGAGGCCCTTTCACCGAAGAAGAAGTTTTGCCCGGAAACGACCATGCACGCAAACGTAACTTACCTAGTAAGATGTGCTACAATGGTCCATGGCCCAAAAATATGGTTGACACAAAATATGACCCCCCAACGGCCAAAATGCCAAAAATGTAATTTGGAATGAAAACTTGGAATTCAAAACTATGAAATGACTTCAAAATACCGTTTGGCCTTTAGCCATACCTCATACATGTTAAAATGAATTTTAGATAACGAATTTCATACACAATACATGCTCTGGTGCAAAATAGTGTACTAAAACGCATGAATTTCATATAATCTTATTAAAGGCAAAAATCAACATCCATGACATAAATGTGATTCTAAAAGAAGTTTGGCCCTTTGCCTCATGTCATATACATAAAATGAGAATCAAAAGTGTGCTTAGGCACACATTACAAGTTTCGAATCAAATATACACATATGACAATTAAGACTACAATTGGCATTCCGAGCCAACCTTCACAAAAATGGAAGTCTTCAAGTCCACAAGTCATCCAAGCATAATGGAAGTCTCAAATTTAATTCTTATACCTGAAATATGCCCCAGTATCGTAGGGGTGAGTAACATAAAGCTACTCGTAGGAAATGAGCATGCATCGACCTACGTTTTACAAGTTTGCATGATTTAATTATTGTGGTTCATTCCACCTAACGTCTATGTCAAAGGTGAGACTCAGGGAGCATCCTAGCTACCTAAGATCATTTCTAGCATCAATCACCTCATTCGTGCAATTTTAGCAACATAGGGTCATGCTTACACAAAGCAACAACATAGGAGCATGCTTACACAAAGCAACAACATATAGATCCTCAAGGTTATCAACTTGAAGTCTAAAATGCAACATTAACTAAATATAACAATTTAGCATAATTAGAATATCTAATACCACACATCAAGACATAGATTCTCTAGGTTATCAACTAGAAATCTAAAAGTGTGAAATCAACTAAATATATCAATTTAGTATCAATGTACTTAACAACATCAAAATCGCCAATAGCCAAAACCACAAGTCAACAAGGTAAACATGATTGTCAACTTGGAATTGAATGCGAAAACAAATAGTGGAAGACTTGGACAGCACGCTCGGAATTCTGCCGAGACCTCAATGGTTATTCCGGGCACTAACCGTAGGGAAGACCACCCTAAGTGCGCACTATCTCAATGATTTAGAGGACTCACGTCCCCGTACTAGAGCCAAACCCTAGCCATCTCAACTCAACAATGTTCCAAGATTCCAAAATAAGCCAAATAAGTTTATAACTTATACATATTACTGCTACATAGTAACAAGTTAGCAATTTAACTCTCAATGTGCATAATAAGCATTTCATATCCATAATGCTACGAAATCACAAGCCAACGATATATTCATATTAGAAACATACTCTCATGAATATAAATTAAACAACAATGCCCTTCAATGCATATAACATAATCAAGTGAATACTTTACAAGTCTAAATCCATGATCTTAAGATAGAAGCACCTTCTAAAACATGATTAAATCCATGGATAAACAAGATAGAATCTAATTACATCAAAATAATTAAACTCTCTAGATTTTAAATCATTTCCAATTGGCCCCAATTTAATATATGCTAATAGACATATCATGGTCATTACATATATTCACACAAAAGCTTAATTAGGCCCATGAAACCACCAAAATAGATTTTAATTAATTCTCTTAATTAAAGTCTTTAGATTTCCAAACTCAACCAAATACTTTCAAATTAAAGTATGTTCACAAACATGCCAAAACTTAATTTAGAAGCATAATACAACTCAATTTCATGCAAGGTATAGCCATGAACTTTAATCTTTCACAAAAGATAAATATTAATTAAAAAGAGCAATTCTTATTTAATTAATCCAAATTTAATATATGCTAACCAACATATTAAAACAAGATTTTCTATCATGCCACAATTCAAATCAAAGTTATATATCATCATGAATTTTTAATCTTATACAAAGAATTAAAAATTACTAACTTTCTAGATTTGAAACAAGGCACATATATAAGTTGTATAATCATGCTAAACACTCAATAACACACACAAAAGCCTAAAACATTCCCTGCCTCCATTTGAGATGAAATCTCAAATCCGCACCAAAATAAATCGGCTCCGAATCCGACGAAACTCCTAAGTTTTATCGGGGACAACACCACGAACATAAATCCCAAGGAATCCCCATCAAAAACACAACTTGACTTCAAACCCGAACTCAAGAAATGGCCAAAACGAGATTCCAATCCGTTGGAATCGAAGGCCTCGCCGAGGGGAACAACAAACACTAAGGCATTAAGGTATTTCATTGAAGGGAAGAAGCTCAAAAGAAGAGAGAGAAGATGGCAGCCATGGCTGCCTCTAGATCCGGCCAAGAGAGAGGAAAGAGAGAGCAAAAATCTGATTTTTCACTTAAAGGCCCCCTATTTATAGAAAACTCAAAAAGTGCCCCGAACGGGCCCCGTCGGGTCCGGAAAAGTGAAATTTGAGCAGACGCGCTCAAAGGGCAAAACTCCATGAACGAAAAAGATTCCAAATAAGAAAATATGAACAACAAAAAAAACAGCATCAAAAACCGAGTCCCGAGCAGAGTGTTATACCCAAAACAAGTTTGGCGCAAACTAGGGCCAGAAATCCTGAAACTGGAAAATATCGTCCAGGAGGAAATTCTAAGAGTCCACGACTCGACGAAATATGAAAATGAATCTCATACGAGGATCCAGACTCAAAACAAGGCATTGAGCAATAACTTTCATTAATTGCACAATGGCCCCTCCAAAAAGTGAAAATTGCGAAACTGCCCTAGAATGAAAATATCTTCCAAAAGATATTTTCTTAGATACCCCTGAAATAAAATATCTTCAAAAGATATTTATGAAAAACACCCCAAGAAAAGAAAAAGTTTCCAAAGAACTTTGCATCCATGCTCCTATGGACACCGGGAGCAACCAAAGTACTTTATCACGAAAGTAAAGATACGTATCTCATGGAAACCACTGATAATGAAGATACGTGAAGTCAAAAACCAACTCCGAACACAAGAAGTGTGGTTATACAAACAGAGTGACAAATGAGGAGAAGACGAAATAGGGAAAAGGGCGAAAAGTGCAGAGTGTCGAAAAACGAAAAATGTGGAAATGACTCGATCCTCAAAGGTAGTTGTCAATCCACAGAAAAGAGTCTCGGATGTCATACCAGAGCACTTGAGATAACACTAAACAACGAGGAACTGAACTCAGAAAGGAAAAGACAACGAAAAAAATTTATTCGAAAAAATCCGGGTCATTACATGATATACAGTACCAGCCGGCTGAAATGCCATTTTTTACTAAAAGGCTACTGAAATTGGTCTCGAATAGTCATCATTCAGCTGATGACTACTATCAGCCGATTGATGGACCTGGTAATAGCAGAAAAAGCTGTTGTAATCCATGGGGAAGGTGCTTGTCTCAATCCTAGAGCTATGCATGCTTCCCATTTGATCCGGACAAGTTTCAAAACATTTCCTAGCCTCATGCAAGCATCTAAAACATGCTAAATCGAAATGAAGCTTTAAATGATACCCCAATGCATGAATTTTGCTTAAATTTTCATAAATCATCCAAAAATAGTTCAAAAGTTTGAACTTAAGAGTTTTGTGAAATATAAACATGCACGCATACGTAAAATGAATAAATAGACACGCTATAATGACCCACTGCCTCATAACATGTCATATAAAAAATATGACCCTTCAACCTTTCAAATCCCATATATTTCATAAACAAACTATGGAGTTAAACAAGCATACATGTCATATAAGTGTCTTTGGCCATTAGCCTCATTACATATACATCCAAAGAGTGTCAAAAGGTGCATTTAAGTGCATATTACATAGTTTGAACATTAAATACATGTTTTGTCAAAATAAACCAAAATGGAGCATGATATGCTAACAAGTGCATATTCTAACATAACAAAAATAGTCCAAGTAGTCAAGCAATCCTAAGAGTGTTGTGCATCCCACAATAATGCTTCTTTACCTAAAAAACACCGAGTAACTTTGGGGTGAGTAAACAAGTTTACTCGTAGGGAATGAGCATGCATGAACCTACTTTATACAACTTTGTAATTTGATATAAATCAATTCATAATGTTCAACCAACATTGGAACTTCTAACATAATGCAATAAGATATAAACTCATAAAGTTATCAACTTGGAATTTAAATGCGAAATCAAACCAAAGTGGATACTTGGACATCACAACGGATCAGACCGACACCATAGTTACTTTAGGGTTACTAGCCCATGGGTAACCACCCTATGTGAGCACTAGACTTGTAGTGGAATAATCAACCGTACAAGAACCATGCCCTAGCCTTAGTCATAACAACGACATCCCAAGTTTCCAAAATCAACAATTTGTGCAACAAAATATATGTATTAACATAACATATATATACAATGTAAAGCCATCTACTATACACAAACCAATTTTTGGAAACACAATACATGCTCTAGTTCACAACCACAATGGCATGCAAATTGTTGAATAATTATTATGCAACTTGTCACAACTTATAAGAATTTTATTTAATGATAGGAATATACTCTCACAAGTATTATACAAGTTTAAAATCAAGACTTAACCATATAATCAACATGAAATTCATACTTAATTCATCAGTACAACAAAGATAGAAATTATTTTAATAAAACAACTAATTTCTCTAAATTTCATTTCTCATCCAAACATGCTTAATTTAATATATGTTAGGGAACCTATTAGGATCATTACATATATCTCTTCAAAACTTAACTTAAATCATGGGAACTTATAAATGAAAATTAATTAAATTAATTTCTCTAGATTTCAAAATCCTAAATGACTTCAAGTTAACATAAGTTATAAATTAAGTCCTGGCGTTCCCAAAAATCATGTCTTAGCTTAATTTCATGCAAGGTACCGTTAACTATTAACTTAAAAATTTGGATCAAAGACATGTATTCCATATGAACAAAGTTATAAAACAAATATAACAATAATATCATGAGTATAAATCACCCCCCTACCTCAATAGAGAATTGAATCTTTATAAACCAAGAAGCCAAGCTTAAAATGGTAAACCAAACTACGAGAGGAGAGTGAGAGGAATCAAAAGTATTCGAAGCTTATGGGTCTAAGGTGAGTCAAAGGAGGCCAAAATGAAGCTTAAAGCTCTAAACTAAGCTTTGCTTCAATGGTAGCTAGGTTAGGGTTTGAGAGGAAAGAGATAAAGTGAAATAAAAACACAAACCCTAAACTAAATGTGGTGAGATTCTCCACTCACTATGTGCTCTTGCACTACCATTCACACACACACACAATGTAAGACTAAATTAGGTGCCTACGCTTGTCACTAATCTAAGGCTCCTTCTTACGCTTAATCCTAAGCCTACACTTGTCAACTATCCAAGCCAACAAGTGCTCCAATACTAGGCCAACAAATGGGTGAATCTCCACCCTCCATGTGTTACAAGATTATGCTTCCAAGTCTTTCCACCCCAATGCCAACAAGTGGCACCATAGGAGTGTGACACTTGTCACACTTTCTGAAAATTACAAAAAGGTCCTTTTCCAAAATATCTTCCAAATTAAATTACAAAATGGTCCCTAAGATGAAAAATAATTACTTTACATAATTTTACTAAAACCCCAAAAGTCAAGAATATTTCCAAGAAGTTATGCATCCATGCCCTTACAAGAAAAGTAAACATCTAGCATGCTTTTTTTAAAAAAGTAAAATGTAGACATCATAAAAATTAAATATCATGGACGTATGCAAAGCCCAAATCAAATCCGAGCACAAAAAGTGAGGTTATGCTATGAAAACGATAAACGGGAAAAGACGAAATTGGGGAAAAGACAAAACAGGAAAAATACGAAAATGGAAAGAAAATAAAAATGCCGAAAAAAGGGAAGGAGGGAAAAGACCATGTCATTACAACCTCCCCACCTTAAAGGGATTTCGTCCCCAAAATCAAGACGTACTTGAAAGGAAGAACAAATAGGGATACCGGGAGTGAACCTCCTGCTCGAGCTCCCAGGTAGCCTCCTCAATGCCGTGGTGTCTCCACAAAACCTTGACCAATGGAATGGACTTAGTCTATAAAACCTGCTCCCGTAAATTAAGAATTTGGACCGGACCTTCCTCGTAGGTCACGTCCTCATTAACAACCACATTAGTCGAACGCAGAACATACAATGGGTTCAGCTCGTACTTCCTCAGCTTGGAGACATGAAAGACTTCGTGAACCTTATCGAAGTCTGGCGACAACGCCAAACGATAAGCAACCTCACTGACGAGCTCCAAAACTCAAATGGTCAAATGAACCTAAGAGACAACTTGCCAGCTTGTTGAAATCTCAGCCCCTTGCGCGGAGAAATCTTAAGAAAGATATAGTCCCCAACCTCAAAAGACAAGGATCGCCTCCTCCTATCAGCGTAACTCTTCTGTCTACTCTATATGGTAGCCAATCGCTGCCAAATCAACTTGATTTTCTCTATAGTCTCAATGACAATGTCAAGACCCAAGGCAACGATATCACCAACATCGGTCTAACAAACTGGAGATCTACAAGGTCTGCCATACAACGCCTCAAAAGGTTCCATGCCAATACTGGTCTAGTAACTGTTGTTGTATGCAAACTCAACCAAAGGCAAGTAGTCCTCCTAACTACCCCCAAAATCTAAGATGTAAGCCCGTAACATATCCTCCAATATTTGGATGGTGCGCTCCGACTAACCATTAGTCTGAGGATGGAATGTCGTGCTGAAATGAGGTCCTGTATCAAGAGCCTCTTGAAAGCCCTGCTAAAAGTGAGATGTGAACCGCGGATCCCTATCCGAAACAATCGATACAACAACTCCATGAAGCCTGACAATCTTCCTCACATACAGTTCACTCAGTCTCTCTGCACTATCTGTCACTGCCATGGGCAAGAAGTGTGTCGTCTTAGTCAACCTATCAACTATGACCCAATCGGCATCCCTGCTTGAGACCTCAGAAGTCCTGTTACGAAATCCATAGTGATATGCTCCCATTTCCACTTAGCTACTGGTAATGGTTGCAATAATTCTGCGTGTCGCTGATGCTCTGCCTTCACTTGTTGACAAGTAAGGTATCGAGCCATAAACTGTGAAACATCCCGTTTCATGCCCTGCCACTAAAACTGTCGCCGTAGATTGTGATACATCTTTGTACCACTAGGATGAACTGCTAGCCGAGAGCAGCGAAAATCCCAAAGAACATCTTCATGACAAGACAAAGGAATAAACATCATCCCCTTGTACCTGAGACCACCGTCTGAATGTAAGGTCCAACCCTCTACATTCTCGCAGCCTGAAATTCGATCATAGATGGTCTTCATCTCCCCATCCTCTAACTGTGCCTCAATAACTCTGCTAACAAGTACCGGTTGAGCCACAAGGATAAACAAAATAGCCGATGAAATATCCTCAAAAGACTGTAAACCAAGATCTGCAAGCTCTTCTAGCATCTTCCATTTATGAACGGAAATGCTAGCAAGAGTTCCCCGTGACTTCCTACTCAATACATGGGCCACTACGTTGGCCTTACCTAGATGGTATTATAACTCAAAGTCATAGTCTTCCATGAACTCGACCCATCTGCACTGTCTCAAGTTCAAATCCTTCTAACAGAAGAGATACTTGAGACTTTTGTGATCGGAGAAAACCTTAAACTTTTCCCCATACAAATAGTGTCTCCACCCCTTCAAGGCAAAGATAACTGTTGCTAACTCTAAATCATCTGTCAGATAGTTTAACTCGTGAGTCTTCAACTGTCGAGACCCATAAGCAACCACTCGCTCCGTCTACATCAAGACACAACCCAAACCTTCCCGCGAAACATCACAAAAGATCACATAACCCAAACCACGTTTAGGAATGATCAAAACTAGGGCTAAAGTTAACCTGACCTTTAACTCCTAAAAAGCAAACTCACATGCCTCGTTCCATACGAACTTGACCCCCTTGCAGGTAAGTTAAGTCATAGGTGCCGCTAAACAAGAGAAATCCCAAACAAATCTCTGGTAGTAGCCAGCTAGGCCAAGGAAACTCTGAATCTCAAACACTGTCTTCTGACGCTCCTTGTCCATCACTAACTCAATCTTTGACGGATCCACTGGAACACTGCCCCTTGACACAACTTATCTAAGTAACTTCACTTCTGGTAGCCAAAATTCTCATTTCTCGAACTTGGCGTACAACCAATTATCCCTAAGGATCAGCAACATTGTCCTCAAATAATACTCATGCTCCTCCACTGAAGCTAAGTATAGGAGAATGTCATAAATAAAAAAAACCACAATGAACTAATCAAAATGGTCACTGAATACACGGTTCATCAAGTCTATAAAAGCTGCTGGAGCATTGGTCAAACCAAATGGCATCACCAGAAACTCATAATGGCCATACCGTGTGCGGAAAACGGTCTTGGATATATCCTTATCCTTAACCTTCAACTGATAGTATCCCAATCTCAGATCAATCTTCGAAAAATAAGTGGCTCCCTTTAACTGATCAAAATAGTCATCAATCCTAGGCAAAGGATACCTGTTCTTAATCGCAACGTGGTTCAGCTTGCAATAATCGATGTAAAGTCTTAAAGACCCATCCTTTTTCTTCACAAAAAAAACCGGTGCTCCCCAGGGTGAAGCACTAGGATGAATAAAGCCCTTAGCTTTCAAATCATCCAATTGAGCTTTCAGCTTATCCAACTCTGCCGGTGCCATGCGGTACAATGCCATAGAGATCGGCGCAGTACCAAGAATGACGTCGATGGCAAAGACAACTTCCCAAAGAGGAGGAAGCTCCGCTAACTCCTTCGGAAAGACATCCAAAAACTCGTTTGCAACTGCCAAAAAAGCACGGCCCAAACTGCTACCCTCGTCAGCTAACAGGCTAGCTAAGAAGGACCTGTGGCGACTCCAGTCACTGATGCTGAAAGTCATCTTCGAGTGGGAATCGCTCCGATCTCTCATGAAGTGAAAACAATCTCTAGTAGGAGTGCAAATAGATACTCGCCCGTGGAAGCAATCAATCGAGGCATGAAAGAAAGACAACCAGTCCATCCCGAGGATGACGTCAAAGCCCGTCATGTCAAAAATGACGAAATCGAACTCTAAAGTCTGCCCAGCTATCTCGATAGCACAACCCCGATAAACATTCAAAGACACTAGACCACTAACTGGTGTGTTAACATAAAGGAAACCATCCCGTTGCATGACCTCCAGACCTAAAGAATGTGCAAATGATGTAGATATGAATGAATATGATGCACCCGTGTCAACAAGAACTCTAGCCCAAGAATTAAAAACTGGAAAGATACCTCAAACCATAGAAGTCCCTACAGAGGTATCGACCTGTGGCAATGCGTAAGCTCAACCTTAACCCCCTGACTGCTAAGAACTGCCCTGGTGGCCTGACTGATGTCCAAAAGTAGTAGGCATAGAACCTCTACCCGAATAAGAACCAACTGACGGTGCCACTGGCTGTGGTGCCTGAGGTACCCTGAAACCCGACTTTGCCAGTGTAGCCTGTGAACCAGTGCCACTCTGTGCTCTGTTCTATCGGCGTGGACACTCCCTCGTAAAATGTCCGCGCTGCTTACAATAATGACAACCCCCTTGAAGTCCCTGTATCAAAGCTGAAGACTTGCTCGTCTGAGAACGACTGCCCTGAGGCTGCAACTGTGGACAATGAGGCTTGATGTGCCCTGGCTACTAACAGTGGTGATAAATCACCTTCCCTGAGGAAACAGGAATTGTGGGTGCAGATCGAGCCTGCTGTGACTGTCCCTGAACACGAGAACTGTCCCTGGCCTTAGCCTTCTTCCACTGACGACCCCCAACAGATACTGCTAAAGCCTCTCCATGAGACTACTTATATGAACCCTTGATCCTATGCTGATCTCGGTCCTCTACCTCAACCATCATAGCCCTCTGGACCACTTCTCCGTAGGTCCTCAAATTTAGTACTAAAATCTGTGGCCTAATATCAAGATGCAACCCATCCTGAAACTTTCTTGCCCTGAGTTCGTCGGTAGCTACCATCTCTAGTGCATAGCGGGAAAGAGAAGTGAAGCATGTCTTATACTCAATAACACTCATCATGCCCTGATAAAGACCTGTGAACTGCACTCTCATATCCTGCCTCATAACCCTCAGAAAGAAGGGGTCAAAGAACAACGTCTTGAACTCTTCCCAAGTCATCACCTCCACATCCTGAATGTTGGTCATAAACCTACACCAGATATCGACATCTCCCATGAACATAGAGGCTGTCAAGGAGATCCTCCATTGGTCAATAGGTACTGCCATGCTATTAAGCTTGCGTACCATGAGATCAAACCATGCCTCTGAAGCAAGCGGTTCCATACTCCCTACAAATTGGTCAGTTTTAACCCGTTATAACTTCATGAAGTAGTCCAATGCCTCATTAGCAACTGGTGCCGGTGCTGGTGTCGGTACCGAAATTTGTATCCCTGCAATATACTGATGAAACATCTGCTAAATGGACTCTGACATCCCCAGAGCCACTCCCTGTACGATCTACTCCTCATAAGTCGACGCTCGTGGTGGATTAGGACCCATGCCACAAATTAGAATTTTGGGCCTCCTCGGACCCCTCGTAAACTTGGTGTCGTCCACCTGCTCCTCAATGCCCTGACGTAAGACTTCCCACGTGTGGCAACCATGATGCTAAATGTACGAAAGGAAAGAGGTCAACAATAACATAAGTTATTATGACTGAATGCAACTCACACTATAAAAGCATGAAACACGAAGCAAGACAAGGTAAGCAACATATTGTCATGCTAAAGCAATCAAAGAAGGCTCTTTAAACAACTAAGCACTTAAGCAAATAAGCATACATGTCAAACAAGGATGCTTTTTAAACACAAAAGCATATAAGCATAAAGATATGTTATAATACCAAACGTGTTGCCAAGAAACACGTAAACATGTTACCACGCTAAAACATGTCATTAAAGGCATGCGAATATATCAATGTACATCAACAAAAGCATGATATGTACTCAAAACCCATCGTCCTAAGGTATTCAAACCTGGGAAGCTCTAATACCACTTGTGACGGCCTTGGGTTTTCAAGCCCAGTGCGTCTTGTGATGACCCGAAAGTTGACTCGGGAATGGATCCAAAAATGAGGAAGTGAAAGATAGAACCAAGGTATTTAGAGATGTATATCATCCCTAAGACACAAAGGTGGCTTCTTGAGGAGTCCCGAGACTCAACGGAAACAAGTAGAAAACAATGATTTTGAAACCTTATAAGAAATGAACCAAGGGTAAAATGGTTATTTCATAGAGGAATGGATATTACCAAGTATACCATTGGAAGGACAACAAAAAATTAATGAAGTTAGACTCAAGAATCACCTGATTCCGAGTTCGGACGAAAAAGATATGAAAATAAGAACAAAACCGTATTCTTCGATTTAGAGATATCGCAACCCTATCTCACTAAAACTAGTATAACTTTTACTACAATCAGAGTTTTTGAGTGTGGTTGGTATCATTGGAAAGCTAGCTTCAAGCTCTTAAATTTAGACTTAAGAATGACCTGATTTGGATTACAAATGAAAGAGTTATAGCTCTCTGAAGTTAATGTAACAAAGCTATCTAAGAAAACTCAAAAGGGGAAGGTTCCAGGGAGGATTAGCTAGCTGATGTAGTACCAACCGGCCAAAACTCACTCATCAGCCGGCTGATGAACAGTACCAGCCGGATAAAATGCCATTTTTCACTAAAAGGCTACTGGAATTGGTCTCGAACAATCATCAGTCGGCTGATAACTACTATCAGCCGACCGATGGACCTGGTAGCAGCAGAAAATGTCATGAGCCGTGTCTTTCAACCCGGTGCGTTAGTGATAACCCGAAGGTTAACCAGAAAATGGATTCGAAATGCGGAAGCAAAAGATAAAACCATAGTCCTTTGAGATATAAATCATCTCTAAGGCACCAATGTGACATTCTATGATGTCACAGAACTTAAGGAGAGCGAAAGAGGAAACTAGAGTTAAAACGGGCAAAATCTGTTAATGGAGGGCAAAATGGTCAATTCATAATTGAGAAGAGAAAATGGACTCTAAACAATTCAAACAAGGTGAATACAACCTAATCTAATCATTTCATAACATTCCAAGAGGTTCTAAGAACTTTGGATAAGAATCCCACAAAATGCCCTTTCCCAGTTTAAGCGAAAACTGACACTACCTCACTAAAACATGAATAACTCTCACTATGATTGGAATCTGTGAGTGGAATAGGTACCATTGGTACCATTGGAAAGCTAACTCAAAATCCTTGAGTTTAGGCTCAAGAATCACCCCATTTGGATTAGAAATGAAGGAGTTATGCTCTTTTGAAGTTGGAACTTCAATGCAGAAACCCAATAGAGAAGCTGTGCATGTTCAAGCTATTTCAGTTGATCGAAATAGAGTTTCGATCGACCAAAACTCACAAAGACTTACTAGAATCTTGATTTTTAAAGTAAGTTTGGTTCGGTAGACCGAATTGAACCATCGGTCGACCGAAATAGGCTATCGGTCGACCGAAAGGGCCCTGAAAGCTGAAAATGACTACTGGAATGTGCACTTTACTGTGCAATGATGTTACTAAAGGCCATTGGTCAATCTAAATATAGTTTCGGTCGATCGAAACACCTCGAAATGCTGCTATATGACCTGCTATATGACCTGCTATATACCAAAGGTGTTAAGGTTCGACCCATGCTTTGAATCCCATGATGATTTGGTTTAAAAATGAAAGTTTAAAAGTTATTTTCATAGAGAAGTGAGTGTGTGGACATGTCAACAAGTGTAATATGAATATGTGAATGTAAAACAATGGCTCATGGCCTTTTTCATGTCAATTACAAGGATTTCATATGCTAAATCCCCCAAAGTTGGTTAAAAATACATTTTTACGTGAAAGTTTGATACCAAATGAATACAAGTACAAAAGCAAACATGCTTGGCCCTTGGTCTCATTACATACATGCCTATAATATCAAAAGTAAGTACTTAGGTATTATTACACATCAAAGTAGCCACATTAGCTTCTAAAATACCATACATCCATGGTATGCAAAAATCTAACATCAAAAGTAAAGCATGCTAAACACTTGCATGTCAATATACAAAAATGTTCCAAATTGCTCATTAGCTTCTAAAGATGATGAGCATCCAAGAACATAGTCTCCTTACCTGAAAAACAACCCAAACCACTAGGGTGAGTAATCAAGTTACTCGTAAGAAGAAGCATATGCGTATACCCTAAAGTTTCAATATCATTGTAAGATCAATATAGATGAATACAAGGGAACATTCCACTTAACGTCCATGTTCAAGGTGTTCTAAGGGATCATCTTAAGCTAACCTAAATATCTCTTAGCAACATATATCAATATCAATGTACTTAACAACATCAATTCGCCAATAACAAAAATCATAAGTTACAATTAAGCATTGGTTGTCAACTTAGAATTTAATGCGAAATCAATTAGTGGAATACTTGGACATCACGTCTCGAACTAAACCAAGATCAAAATGGTTATTTCGAGCATTAACCCACTGGGAAGACCAACCTAGTGCGCACTATCTCAATTAGAGAGAACTCATACCTCCTGCACTAGAGCCAAACTCTAGCCATATCACTTGTAACAATGTCCCAAGATAATCCAAAATCACAATCAAGTTCAAAACTCAAACACTATAATTAAGGCATATAAACCACCTTCCAAGCACAAGTATTTTGAAACCACACAAACCATGTCTTAGTGTTCCAAGTCTAAATTGGCATACCAAATGACAAGTCCTCATCATGATATTTTGTACAATACAATACCACTAACTTATCAATTTAAAGCATGCCTCAACAATAAGCTATATATACTAGATTACAACATTATAGTATTAAGCTTCTAAAATAATTTCAATTGTCATTAACAAGATCATAGAATTATCACCACCATAAATATAGCAATTCAAGTCAATAGGTATTGTATATAACATTAATAATTCTATAAGAGTTCTATATCACTGCACATATGAAAATACTAGAATTTAGCTTACTACTAAATTATATAATCCTTTTACACATGGTTTATACATAGAATAATTACGAGAAAGTATGCATTCATGCCCTTTATGAAAAAGTAAGCAACTAGAATGTATTTTCTACAAAAGTAAAAATACAAATGTCATGGAAATCAAATATCATGAATGCATGCAAAACAGGAATCAAATCCGAGCCCAAAAAGTGAGGTTATGCAAGGAAAAATAATAAACGGAAAAAAGACGAAAAAAGAAAATCGCCGAAAAAGGAAAAGGAGGAAAAAGACCGGGTCATTACAGAAAAGCTGCTGTAATCCATGGGGAAGGTGCTTGGCTCAATCCTAAAGCTATGCATGCTTCCCATTTGATCCGGACAAGTTTCAAAACATTCCCTAGCCTCATGCAAGCATCTAAAACATGCTAAATCGAAATGAACCTTTAAATGATACCCCAATGCTTGAATTTTGCTTAAATTTTCATAAATCATCCAAATATAGTTCAAAAGTTCGAACTTAAGAGTTTTATGAAATGTAAACATCCACGCATACGTAAAATGAATAAGTAGACACACTACAATGGTCTACGGCCTCATGTCATGTCATATACAAAATATGACCCTTCAACCCTTGAAATCCCATATATTCCATAAATAAACTATGAAGTTAAACTAGCATACATGTCAACTAAGTGTCTTTGGCCCTTGGCCTCATTACATATACATCCAAAGAGTGTCAAAGGGTGCATTTAAGTGCACATTACATAGTTTGAACATTAAATACATGTTTTGTCAAAATAAACCAAAATGGAGCATGATATGCTAACTAGTGCATATTCTAACATAAAAAAAAATACTCCAAATAGTTAAGCAATCCTAAGAGTGTTATGCATCCCACAATAATGCTTCTTTACCTAAAAAACACATGATAACTTTGGGGTGAGTAAACAAGTTTACTCGTAGTGAATGAGCATGCATTAACTTACTTTATACAACTTTGCAATTTGATATAAATCAATTCATAATGTTCAACCGACATTGGAACTTTCAACACATTGCAATAAGATATAAACTCATAAAGTTATCAACTTGGAATTTAAATGCGAAATCAAACCAAAGTGGATGCTTGGACATCATGCCGGATTAGACTGACACTATAGTTACTTTAGGGTTACTAGCCCATAGGTAACCTCCCTATGTGCGCACTAGACTTGCAGAGGGACAATCCCCCGTACTAGAACCATGCCCTAGCCTTAGTCATAACAACGACATCCCAAGTTTCCAAAATCAATAATTTGTGCAACAACA